CATTTCCTCTCCCTCCACTTCTTCCAAACTTGAATGAGTTTGAGTTTCTTTCTTCTGTTAAACACAGAATAAGATATTTTGAAGAATGTTGGTAACCGAACAGTCGATGGTAGCCATTGACTTCCATAGTACTTTTTTCATTACAATGGATGTCAAGGCCTACCGTCAACTGTTTGGTTACCAACATACAGGTTTGGAACAACTTCAGGGTGAGTAAAGAATCACAGAATTTTCCTTTTTGGGTGAACTATTACTTTAAGATTGATTATAATAAATCTTACATTACAAATAAATGAAGACCCTGAATATTGATTATTTACCAGAACATTTCAAGCCCACATTATTGTCACTGCTGCAGTTGTGTCTGTGTGATGATATTGAACAGAATGAAATCTGAGATTCATTTCCTCTGCACTGAATCTCTTGTGTCCACATCTGAGTGTCTCCTTTGCCAAAAGCAGCTGCTCCCAGCACCTGTACAGGAGCCCCACAGTCCAGCTCTCTACACACAACCTCTGCATCCTGCTGGTCAAAGGCAGCGTCACACACTGACATCCACGTCTGATCATGAAGTATCTCTAGCCTCCCAGAGCACAGGTGAAATCCAGCAGCAAGTCTGGAAGGCTTATGACCTGTTTATATTGCATGAAGCACAGTGCACAGTAGAGAAAACACACACATAATACAGACGTAATGCAGATAAAACATGTAACAATACAGCTATATTAGTATACAAAAAGTTTTCCACATAAAACACAATAAATCTTTGCATAAACACAAATTCATGGACAAGAAGTAGGGGGGGAAAATGCTTAATGCTTAGAAGTACTTCAGTTCCCTTTCGATACTTCACTTCGTACTGCGTCGCTAGACGCTACGGGGAAACTCCTTTTCTCCGATTTACTGAAGCCTTTTTTTCCAATCACAGCAGTGCATCTGCACTGCCATTGTTTCAGAAATGAACCAATGACGGTGCAGCGGAGCTGCGCGAGCCTATGGCAAAGCAGCGCGCCCGAGCCCGCCAAAATGGGCGGGGCATCTGGCTATATAAGCAGGCGCTCGGCATAGGATCATTGATTCATTCTCCTTCAGCGAAGACAACACTGCTCTTTGCTGATTCCACGATTTCCTGCTTGTGGTTACAAAAAAGAGCAAATTTCTGAGCAAATTTCCTGCAACGTTGTTGCAAATGTCGCGCCACGTCTGTGTCTCGTGCAGGACACCACTGCACGCTGATGATGGGCACAGTGAATGCGTGCGATGTCTGGGGAAATCCCACGCAGAAGCCGCGCTCACTGAGACGTCATGCTCCCACTGCGAGAGCATGAGTCTCGCCTCTTTGCGCTCGCGGATAGCTTTCTTTTCAGAAAGCGCCCCCGCCCCTCACGGCCCCCCGTTTCCTTCCTCCCAGGAACCTGTGAGGAAAAAACAGCGGGGTAGAGGATCACAGCGCTCGGATATGAGTGAGCTTACGTTGGCTCAAGGCCCGTGTACCTCACTCTCTCCACAAAGAGAGGTTTCCCCCGTCTCGTTCTCCCATCCAGACCAGCGCCCCTCTGCCATCGAGAGTGACCTGGTATCGTTTGGGGGATCGGATGACGAGCCGCTTGATGACAGTATGTCCCTAGCGGCCTCGGATGCTGAGGATTGGTCGGGCTCCATTGCTGACCCCGCCCCCTTGCCATCTGCGGAGCCGATCGACGCCAGGGTTGGTACGGACACCAAGCTCATCCGTGTCCTATCAAAAGCCGTCGAGGAGCTCGGATTGGAGTGGTCTTCGCCTGAAGAGCCCACTCGCAGCCGCCTAGACGAGTGGTTTCTGCCGGGACGCCGCCAGACCCCTCCTCAGCGAGCTGCGCCCTTCTTCCCAGAGGTTCACGACGAGCTGGCTAAGTCGTGGCGCGCCCCCTACTCAGCTCGTTCACGCTCCTCTGTCTCTCCCGCCCTCACTACAGTCGACGGCGCTGCACATAAGCTGCCTCCTCTGGACGAAGCGGTGGCTGCACACCTCTGCCCCCCCGCTGCCATCGGATGGAAGGCAAAGGCCGCTCATCCCTCGAAGCCCTGCCGAACGATTTCAGCCCTCGCTGGTCGTGCTTACACTTCGGCGGGCCAGGCTGCGTCTGCTTTACACTCTATGGCGGTGCTCCAAGTGTACCAGGCGAAGCTCCTTCGCGCCATGGATGAGTCTGGGCCAGAACACTCTGCAGCGTTCAGAGAGCTGCGCAGGCGGGCCAGGCTGCGTCTGCGTTACACTCTATGGCGGTGCTCCAAGTGTACCAGGCGAAGCTCCTTCGCGCCATGGATGAGTCTGGGCCAGAACACTCTGCAGCGTCACACTCTGCGCGCCACAAAGACGACTGCACAGGCCATTGGGAGGTCGATGGCCAGCCTGGTGATGCTGGAACGCCACTTGTGGCTGAATTTGACAGAAATCAAAGAAGCGGATAAAACCATCTTCCTTGACTCCCCGGTCACCCCCACTGGCCTTTTCGGACCTGCTGTGGAAGGGTTCGCCGAGCGTTTCACGGCTGCACAGAAGTCGTCCCAAGCCATGCGACACTTCCTGCCGAAGCGTTCCAGTTCTGCAGCTGCTGCCAGTCGCCCCAAGCTCAGGAAGGAAGAGGAGGGGGAGAAGTCTCGCTGTGGCCGGACCACCCCCCAAACTGTGTTCCCAGTCGCCCTTTCCAGTTCCGGGTGCTGGGAAAAATGTGTTTATTGCATGCAAAGGGCCTGTTCTAGCGCCCACGTGTACAACCGCTGTGATAGCGGACAAAATAAAACACAAACATATTAAAAAACAGAGCAAATTTCCTCTTCCAAACATGGCGAGCCCCGGGTCCCTTCACAGCGACCCACCGCCCGAAGCAATTCAACCCCTTGCCACAAGGGCCGAGGCCTGGCAGGCCATCCCCGGCATGTCAAAGTGGGTTATGGGGATTATAAAATGAAGTTATCTACTCCAATTCGCTCGAGAACCGCCGCGTTTCTGCGGTGTGATCCCCACCTTAGTAGGGAACACGAACGCTCGCGTTCTTCGTTCCGAGGTGGCTGTGCTGCTGGCGAAACGGGCCATAGAAATCGTCCCGCCAGCTCAGAGCGAGTCAGGCTTTTACAGCCGCTACTTCCTCGTCCCCAAAAAGGATGGCGGAATCAATTACTCAGGGTCAATTACGCCAAAAGCTCAATGATTCCCAGCCAACGAATCTCATTTCTGGGGGCTGTCTTCGACTCAACCCAAATGAGAGCTGTAGCCTCGCCGGAACGTGTCCTGGCTATACAGCGGCTGACGACCGCCTTCACGATTGGCGCGTCCCTTCCTCTCAGAGTGTTTCAGAGGATGCTGGGCCTTATGGCCTCTGCATCGCCAGTACTACAGTTAGGCCTCCTTCGCATGCGGCCTCTTCAACACTGGCTGAAACCCCTGGTTCCATCCCGAGCTTGGCGTCACGGATGCCTTTGTATCGAGGTGGATCAAGCCTGCATCGCAGCCCTTGCCCCTTGAAGACAACTCGCCTCAGAAGACAACTCTCACTGCCCAATCTATTTTTCGAAGGAAAGGGATGCGCTGGCCCACGATTGGCCCAGCCTTCTCCTTTACGCTTTTCCCCCGATCGCCCTGATCCCTCAGGTCATCAGGCGAATCAGGGAACAAAGGCACAAGGTTCTTCTAGTGGCCCCGCTCTGGAGAAACCAACTATGGTTCTCAGAGATGTCTCAGCTGCTCACGGCAGCTCCATGGCCCATTCCCCTGAGACGGGACCTCCTCTCTCAGGCGAACATGACGATATGGCACCCCCAACCCAAGTTGTGGGCCCTACACTTATGGCCTCTCGATGGGAGCCTATGAACCTCCCAGAGGGTGTCTTAAATACCATTTCTCAGGCTAGAGCCCCATCCACAAGGCGCCTCTATGCCCTTAAATGGTCGGTCTTCACCGCTTGGTGTACAAACCGTTGTGAAGATCCATCCACATGTGACATATCTTCGATATTGTCCTTCCTTCAAGAGCTGTTGGATAAGGGTCGCACCCCCTCCACTCTTAAGGTCTATGTGGCGGCTATAGCAGCTTTTCATGCTCCTATAGACGGGATATCGGTCGGCAGGAACAACCTCGTTGTTCGATTTTTGAAAGGGTCTACTATGTTTCGAAGCCCTATCTAGTTCCGAGGCTGTGCGAAGCTCTAAGAATGATTATGTAAGGCCGGGCTCGACCTCTATGAGTTAGTACGTTATTGCTTAGAAATAACTCAGTTATTTACCTGAACAGATGACCCCTGCATTTGAATTGTGAGTACAGACATTTGTGCTCCATCCTGATGACCCACAGTTCTTCAGTGTAGACTCTGATCCAATACATAATGCACTCATCCAGACTGGTCCTGATCCATGCCCAAAGTGATCATCAGTCAGAGCATCTACAGGTTCTCCACAGTCCAGCTCTCTACACACCACTGCAGCATCAGCCAAATCCCAGAAATCACCACACACTGTTCCCCACTGACCTCTATGAAGAACCTCCACTCTACCAGCACAAGGACTGTTACCATCAACCAACCTCACATTCTTTCTATCTAAGTCACAGAAGAATACAAAGAGAGACTATGAGTAAAGTGTGGAATATTAAAAAGATATTACTCTCATTTTACTTTATTCCTTACCAGCACAGAACAGCCCCTGGAAATTATCATCTGAACAATGGTTTTTATAAAGGGATGTTGGACAGAGGTGAATCTGAGACTCATTTCCTCTGCACTGAATCTCTTGTGTCCACATCTGAGCGTCTCCTTTGCCAAAAGCAGCTGCTCCCAGCACCTGTACAGGAGCCCCACAGTCCAGCTCTCTACACACAACCTCTGCATCCTGCTGGTCAAAGGCAGCGTCACACACTGACATCCACGTCTGATCATGAAGTATCTCTAACCTCCCAGAGCAGCGAGAACCTCCAACCA